CTCTCTCTCTCTCTCTCTCTCTCTCTCTCTCTCTCTCTCTCTCTCCTTCTCTTTCTCTCTCAAACTCTCAAAGAGTTTGACTTCTTTGTTTGGTGCTCCTAATTTGACCCTGAGTTCCCTAGGCTTAAGAAAGGAAACTTTTTTCTGAAATACTAGGCAAAAATGAACACCTTCTGTACAGCAGAAAAACAACTTAGAAAAATTCAAGTGATCCTGAAGTCATTCATCTTTCATGATATCCAGAATTCCTGTCTCAACTCAAAATATTTTACTTTTAAACATCCTCTAGATTTCCTTTTAATTTATTTAAAACACCATCTTCAAATGATTAAAACTGATGAGTTTTCATTATACAACCTCTGGATTGCCTTGAATCGCAAGACTAAGACAATGTTTATAAACGAACAACAGAACAAAAGATGGGGTTAACATATAAGAAAATGAAATTTATTTTCTTTTCTCTCCTTTATCTTTTATTACTCCTCTAAATTATTATATACTTAACACAACCAATGCAGACAAATGATAGACAGACAGACAGATGACAGGCAGGCAGACGCCAGCAATCCCCTTTTCCTTTCCTTCACTGTGTGTTACTACTGCTCCTCCAACTCTCAGATCTCTCATACCAGCCCCCGCCCCAACTCACCACTGTTAACTACATCCATATTATTCTACTCTTTGGCATCCTCACACAAACACACGGCAATCTGATTATGTACGTGGAGGGATTTCAAAATTTATTTTTCTCAAAATGAAATCATACCATACACATTCCTCTTGTTTTTCTCACTGAACTCTACATCTTGCCCATGCCTCCAGGACAGTGGATATAAATCTAATGGCCTTATAGTTCACAGTATAAATAAACCAGAATTTACTCAACTCTTCCCTTTCAGTTATCATTCAGATTTTCTCTGGTTTTTGCCGTTCAAATCATTTTGTTATATGTCTATCTATATATTCATAAATAGATCATGAAGCACTCTTATCTTTTATTTATACTTCTATAATACAGACTTCCAAAAGTTGAACGATTGCTGGATCAATAGATATGAGAAAATGTTCTAAAGAAAACAGCAAAAGTAAAATCAATTGATTAAAGGACAGTTGGGGAAAGGAGAATCCCAGAATATGTCCCCCAAACTATAGCTATCCTTTCTGTACCATCTGGGCAGTGTAGCTGCGTACCAAGACTGCGGGTGGTTTCACAAGGTGTCTGACTTGGTCACATTCACATCCCATTCCAGCTCTTCCTAAGTGTGAGCGCTGCAGTGGACAGGCCAGAGGCAGCTCCGCGGTCAGTGTCTCGGAACACATCCAAGTGTAAGAAGCCCTTCCACCTCCATCCCACTCCCTGCCTGAGGGCCCAGCAACACCTAATGCTTCCCTCATAGGAAGAGCCCTGCATATGACAGCTGGAATGCAAAGGCCCTGTGTTCTGACATCTCCTTCCATCTTCTGGCACGTGGTCACTGAAGAAATTAATACATGGTACTAATATGTTCATCATTGGACCATTATCAAAGGAGGAAGGGCAGCTGGTGCAGAAAAATCAGGAGGAGGTACTTCCCAGGTTCAAAGTGTTCTACTTGTTTTCTTCTCCCATCACAGACTCACAACTGTGCCATTCATACCCACCCACCATCATTTTCCCCACGGCCAATAAAAGAAAAAGAATTTCCCTCTAAGTCCAAAGGAGTGCCCAGTTCCAGCACAGTGAACCAGGAGGAAGCTCAGGGACTCACAACAGTGAGAAGTACAGCCTTGTCACCAGACCTGGAGACCACAGTGGCTGAGCTCAAGCGTGGTGATCTAGTCATGAGTTGCAAGATTTACACAGGCATGCACCTGTATGTTTTGGGGGCTGGTTATCCCCAGAGCCAGTGATGGAAAAGAGAGTGGTGCTCTGTCTGCCTGGCTGAAGGATGAATGCTGGATCTCCAGCACTGAGGCTGACATCGTCCAGAGGGATGGCCAGGCTCTGCCGCCACTGTCATGCCTGGGTTTCTCTGACAAAATCAATACACTCAAGTAGAAGGACCACAGTCTGACTCACTATAGCAAGCCCTAGGATGTGTACTCTGGAAACCTCTAATCTTACATATCAACTTCTATTCTGCCATCTGAATACCTGGAACAAACTCAGATTCTCCAGCTTTGGTTAGAAGACCCATAGCTATTTCCAGAGACAAGATTAATTCCTACAATTCCAAAGTTTATTCAATATTTAATAGTTAGCAGGTCCAGTTCTAGATGTACAAATAACAGTAGCTATGAAAAGACAAAAATCTGTCCCCCATTCCAGTGGGGCAAACAGGCATAAAAACTAAAGTAACTGACATATGTAGGTCATTAGAAGGTCGTATATTTGGCAGAGAAGAATAAATCCTAAAGGGCACAAGAAAGAGAGACCTTCCCTTCAGTCCCCTCACCCCATGCCCACTCCAACCAAATCCATGAAGATAATTACACTTCTCTTTGCTACTTTCCTAAAAACCAAACAAGGGGAGAACATAACCATTTAAATGTTATGACATTCGACAAGGTGTGCTGTCTCTATGCTAGTGCGTGGGCACTAATGTGGGGTCAGAAACTCACATGTGCACACTGGCACATGCCCATACCAGCTGCATAACTGCTGGAAGGAGCTTCCAGGGCTCCTCTTAGCAGCTGGCTTTTCTTCCTTGGGACACATCAAAGGGCTCAAACGTAGAGACACCTGTAGAGACATCTCTCGCTTCTGCAAGCTGGCAAGTATTTCTGCCAAACCACCCTCCATATCTTCTCATTCTCACGCTACCGAAGTGGGATGAAGTCAAGGATGCCTCTTTATCCCTACTAAGTATTTGGTGTGGAATCCATAGACGGAAACATCTGATACAGGAACTACCTGTGGGCCAGAAAAACTCACACCCCACCCGGGGACCTTATTCCAACAGTGTCATCATGAATGGCCACTGTGTATTGGCGCTAGACCGGCCAGGGGCATGGTCATCTCAAAGGGGTTCATCCTCAATCTGGGACTCATACTTCAGCATCCATGGAGGGCATAGAGGGGAACACCATACCCCTACAGCAGGAGTCCCAGCGGTGACCTGAGGCAAGCCACCTACTTGTCTTTTTTCTGTTTTGGAAGAGGAGATGGCACCGGCTGCCACTGTGTATCTGCTAGAGGTTTTTGGGAAGATCCTGTGGGTGCTGGCACGTGCACCCAGGGAATTAATCTACATGTGAGATTCTCTTCTGTTGAGAGACATACTCCTAGCAGAAGAAGAGAAGGGAGGTGGAAATGGGAGGGCGAGGACGGGGAAACACTGAACTGGGTTCAGCCTAACAGCTGTAAAACGTTTACTCAGCCATAGAAATGCTAAAAACAGAGAATATCACTGAGTACCAGAGAAGGAAAAAACTGTGAAAGCCACTTTTAAAATGCCAGCAGTGTGTAATCACTCTGACAGCAGCAGGGCTCTTCTCTCCCAGCAACCGAGGGCTGCAGACAGGGCTGAGGAGGCCAACACCTCCTCCGCGCAGCTTGGTGGCCCCCTTCTGCATCAGCAGATCCCAAGGTATCGTCACTTCAGTCACTGGTCAACACTGTGAGCAGGGAGAGAAGTACTTTCCGTTCATAAGCAGAGAGACTCCTCATCTCCGCACTGAGATCATGCCCAGGAACAGAGCTGGGCAGAGGAAATGATTATTTGAGCAGACTCTGGGTGGAAATGGAAAAAAGGAGTTTCTATTCTTAACCAACAGGCTTATTCAAATCTTTTTAGAAAC